AAGCCCTGCTGTATAAGGGTTCAGACTTTGGGAATAATCTTTTGGGGCCCTGACACCACTAATAAAGTGTTGCTTCCAGATCTTAGTGTCCTGAACCTCATTTCCGAACATAAAAGAACCCCAAATTAGTAAAGACATGATTCTATGCATAGGTGGTGAAAGAAAATTGGCATGGGACTAATCACACAGACACACCAGGGACAACAAAGAAAGTTCATTGTCACCAAAGGCTCAGCAATATGGAAGGAACGAGGACCTGTGACCACCAAAGGCTCCTCCATCACCAGTCCTTCAAACATCAATGGCCTCCTAGAGGCCCCCTTCCTCCCTCCTTCTTTTGTTTGTCATAGGACATTGTAAAGCCATCAGATAATTCCACAGAGAAAACAGGTGAGGATGCCATAGGACTCCTGGGCAGCATTGGAGAGTGCAGATGTGTCTTAGGTGGTGTCTGGGGGTGTAGAAAGGAGACTGGTGTTAGGCCTCTTGTTGGGGTGGGAGAATAGAGGCACCTGCTGGGCCATTTAGTCTGCCAGATTGTCACCTGTTGTAATAATGAATTATCTGTCTGATAGGCCGGCTTTACAATGTACTATGCCAATAGAAGGAGGGAGGGGGAGGCCTCAAGGAGGGCATTGATGCATGACGCATTCGTGACTGAGGAGCCTTTGGTGGTCACGGGTCCTCATTCCTTCCATATTGTTGTGTCAGCCAATAGTATATAAAAGGCCTATTTGGAATTTGTGTAAATGGTCAGAGACTTCCCCTTAGCTAGGGTAGATGCTTGGTTAGAGCTCCAAGTTCTGTCTGTGGGTTGGGGTGTTAGGAGGCGAGGGGCTAGCCTCCATCAGCTCTACGACCATGGTGACAGCGCAGCCTGCTATTCGGAGGCCTTCATAGGAAAAGGAGCTCCCATCCCTGAACCAGGTGTAGGAGGGTCCTTCCAGAATATGGGAGGGATGGGGAGTAATTGTTCTTCAGTTTCTATGCAGGAATGGAGAGGCTTATGAGAATCCATGTCCCTGGGAGGAGGAGGCAGAGTAGAGGGATTGGGGGGTGGACACGTTTTGAAGGTCACAGTTGGGTCCACATCCTTTCCCTCAGTCCATGAGACCTGGAGGGAAAGGATGCGGGAAAGGGCAGTGTCTGAAGACCCACATAGGAGAGTGATTCAGTTCAGTGGTGGGGAGAGGACTGTCAGAGGTGACCCAGATGTCAGTTTCCTTGACTCCTGGATTAGGATGCCCGAGGAGACCAGTACCTGAAGGCAAGGTGCCCATCCCCATACTGCTGGGCAAGGCATCTTGAGAGAAATGCCACTGCTACAAAGGATGGTCCCAACTGGTGGCCTCGTGCCCTCAGGGCAGATCCTTGGTTTTCTGTTACATATAGAAAAAAGGGGTGGGATGGGTCAGGCAAGTGAAGGGCTGGGGCCTGCAGGAGGGCTCTGGAGGGCCTGAAAGGGGGTGTTGATGGGTGTGATGAGGAGCTCTTTGTGAGGGCCTTTGTGGTATGGTAAAGGGGTCAGGCCAGCAGAGCATGGTTGGGCATCCAAGCCCTAAGGAATCCTGTTAATCTCAGAAATGAGAGTACTTCAACCTTGGTAGTAGGAACAGAAGGGGAGAAATGAGGTTTTCTGCTCCCTCATAATGGCCTTGTGGGATGGGGTCAGTTGGAAGCCCATGACGGTGGGAAGTGAGAGCTGGACCTTAGAGAGTGGGTCCTAAGTGTGATGTGGATGGGATCTTGGCATGTGGCTATAGAGGGTTGTGTATGTCCCATACCTGAGGATTGACCAAGGATGGGGGCAAGGGTGTTAATGAGGGAGTAGTTGTAGGTGGGATCAGTTGGAAGCCCATGACAGTGGGAAGTGAGAGCTGGACCTTAGAGGGAGACGCGGCGTCCTCACAAGGCCAGGAAGTTTATTTAGTGACTTGGCCTTGTGGGTTTACTGTGGTCTAGGGAAGGACTGCAGAGAAGAAGGCCATCCATGTATGGGAGCAGGAATGACCATGACAAGGATAGGTGGGGGAGGTCTCGGGCCAAGGCTTGTCCAAAAGGTGGGAGCCATCTCTAAAGCCCTGAGGAAGGACGGTCCATGTAAGTCAAGTGGACACCTGAGTGTCTGGGTCAGTCCAGGTAAAAGCAAAGAGGTCTTGGGAATCTTTGTGTAAGGGAATGGAGTGTTGAATCCCAATGCAAAGAAAAGACCACCGACTCCAATTTTAAATCAAATTAAAGCAAGCTTGTATTGTGTAGGCAAAGAGAGCTGATCAGGACTGTCTCAGAGAGCAGCCCCACAGCTCTCCAGGAACAAGGTTTTTATAGCAAAAAAAGTTGCAAAGTGGGCGTATCTTGAGAACTTACAGCTAATAGGATTTTGACAAGCATAATACAAAGGCAGATAGCAGGTTAGTGATCTACATGGCTTAACATTTCAAGGTAGGTAGTAAATTCAGATCCCAACATCAGAATTTATGAGGCTCCACTGAAGTTTCAGAGAAGGTTTTATCTGGCCAGGGGGAGCCAGGATTTATGAGGCGCCACTAAGGTTTCAGAGAGGGTTGTTATCTGGTCAGGGAGACCCAGGCATGGGTGAGTTCAAGGCAAAGGCAGGAATTCCAAACAAGTTTAGAAAACTCAGTAATTTATAGTAAAACAGAAATTAACTTTTCATGACTTTGTTATGAGATTGGCTCCCAATCATAAGATGGAATTAGGCTGGGTTCATCAGAGAAGAAGGCATCCTTAAGGTCGAGGACAGAAAAGTATGTTGTGGAGGCGGGGATAGAGGACAAGAGAGTGTATGGATCTGGAACAATGGGGTGTAAAGGGATGACTGCCATGTTGATGATGCTCAGGTCTTGGACCATATGGAAAGCAGCCTGAGGGTTTTTTGACAGCGGGGGTGGGGGGGAATGGTGTGTTATAGGGAGTCTGACAATACAATAGGCCTTTGGCTAGAAGGTCAGGAACTATGGCTTTAGATCTCTTGGGCTTCGGATGGAAAGAGGGTGGATCCTAAGTGTGATGTGGATGGGATCTTGGCGTTTGGCTCCAGAGGGGTTGTGTATGTCCCATACCTGAGAATTGACCAAGGATGGAGGCAAGGGTGCTGATGAGGAGGTGGTTGTGTAAGGGTCCGGCGAAACGTCGGAGTAGAGACCACAAGAGACTCTCTTATGCAACAGCAGAAGGGTGGGTTTATTTGGAGACCAGCATGCTAGGGCTCCCTCTACAGCAAAGAGAGATAGAGCCCTGAGAACAGCTTGAGCAGAGCTTATATACTTTTCTTGGAGAGGGCAGGGAGGGAAGTTCATTGACAGGTCAGGRCRAGTGGGCAGYTTGCCTGCAACSGAGTGAGGGAGTGCATTCTGCAGCTTGGCAGTTGGGGACAGCACATTCTGGGAACAAGATTAGCAAAAACAGTTCTCAGGAATTAGCAAAAACAGTTCTCAGGATTTTAACAGTGTTTGTTAAGCATATAGAAAATCGGAGTGACAAGTACCTATTTTATTAACCTTTCAGTTGTAGGTGATAGGAGGAGGAGTGGAAGTGGGGACAAGTCCAGGAGAGAGCCCTCCATGGGAAGATTAAAGGAAATGGATGAATCTAATTTACTTAAAAGGTCTCAACTTAGTAAGGGAGTAGGGCATTGGGGGATGATGAGGAAAGAGTGGGACAAAGGATCTCGTGAATGGAGCATGTGAGAAATGGGTCTTTAATGGTTGGTATGGTTTGCCTTACACCCTGAGAATGGAGGTTGTGGAGATAGAGGTGGATCCCCAAAATTGGACAAGTACTGAGAGTGTAGCCCTGGTGTCCAATTCGAAAGAGATGGGCCCACCTGCTACACAGTGGTTACCCGGGGCGGTCGGGGTGCTGGGCTCCCGGGCACCCTCAGTCATCTGTAGCTGTCCCACAAGGTCGGTCTTCGGTGTGGTGGGTGTGTAACCTCCTGCCTCGCCATTGGGCAAGAGGGCAACCAACAGCTCAGTGGTCCACTCAGTGGCATTTAGTTCAGGGACCGGAAGGTTGGCGAGGGTTAGGGCAGGCCCTGACCCAGTGGCCCAGCTGACCACACCGACAGCACCAGGAATCGGAAGGTTGTCGAAGGTTAGGTCAGGCCCTGACCCAGTGGCCCAGCTGACCACAGCCACAGCATGCTCCGCAGGGCTCTCTGTGCTTTTAGGGGCAGTGGTAGCAGTAAGAGGTCGCTATTTGACAGCTAATCCTGCAGGCCTTTTCATCTCCGCCACCATACCCTACCTGGGGCTTGACTTGGGAGGGGAGGGCCTCCCTCCAGCTCCTTGGGCGCCGGGCGGAGCAGGTCGGGCGAGGCACCCTGAAAGGAGCACGGGATCCCATCTGGCCAGGCCCACGGGTGCAGCAGCGCTGGAGCCCCGCGAGCACCCTCCAGACACCCTGAACACCCGACCAGAGCCTGCCCCGGGCGTCCTGACTCGTGACCAGAGGGTCTCCCACCGAGTAGCGAACGCCACTGGAGAAGCCCCGTTAGTTCAGCGGATGATAAGCTTTTCCTGATTCTTCGGAAGAAAACAGACATTGCTTTCCTGTCACTTAACGAATTAAAACCCAGACAGACCTCCCAAGGTCCAACACGCTCGCCTGCAGAATCCCTAACTAAACCGCCCGCGCTGCGAGCGCCGCCCACACACCCGGCGATCGTCCCCTAACGGGGAGGGGCTGCGGTCACGCGCGCGGGGCGGCCAATCCCGGGCCTCCGGCAGCGGGCCCCGCAGCGGACGGCCCCGTGGGAGGCCGGGTCGGCCGCCGTCTCCAGCTCCACTCGGAGCGCTTCCGGAGTCCTCTGCGCATGCGCCGCCCCCCCCACGCCATCTTGCTGCGGACGCTCCCGCCCCCGCGGCAGTCGGGCTGGAGTGCCGAGTGCTTGCTGGGCCGGGCCGCGCCTCCGCGCAGTGGCGCGCGGGCGCCAGCGGGAGCTGAGAGGGGACGGGTGCCGCCGCGAGGCCCGGCGGGTGGGTGCGCGCCGACACCTGAGCTCACGCCGGGGCCCCGCAGCTCCCCAGGCCGCTAGCCCGCTGTGACTGCCCCGCTCCGCCCGGGGCGCCGGTCGCCGCCCCCGTTCCGTTGGGTCCTCCCAGCCGAGGTGAGCTGTTAAGTAGCTCGAGCGCCCCGCCCCCCTAGAAGCAGGCCACCTGCGGCCGGCCGCACTGTGGTGTCTTTGGAGCCAGTGGGGTTTCTGGGGCCCTCCGGCTGCGGCGGCAGGGCTCTGCCCTGGACGCTGGGACTCGCTGCTCCGGAGCGTTCCGAGCCAGGTGGGCGGGGGTTTGGCTGGATTCGAAGCCAGCCTTGAAGGTAGATGGAAGAAACCTACGTGTCAGGCAGCCTTGAAGGTAGATGTAAGAAACCTACGTGTTAGGTTCTGTCTTTCCAGTTCCCGACTTAAAGAGAAGCCGGCGGGCGGTGCGCTGCGGGCTCGGTCGACCTAAGTTAGCGGCGGCGTCCCTCTCCTCCCCTGCGGACCCTTCCCTGGGCACCTGTCCGGGCAGGGCCGCTGTGCCCCCTCAGCTCGCCCTCTCTGCAGAGGGACGTCTCCGATTTCAGGGAGGGGGATTCCACCTTCACTTTGAGGACAGCCGCTCGAAGTTGGAGCTTACAGTGTCCTATACCAGACTGGTGTCCAGGGACAGTAAGTTCTAACGGGGTTGGGGTCCTGCGTGATGATGGCCCCCTAATYTTGGGGCAAAGTAAAAGTAAGCCTTACAGAGTCTGAAGGAAAGTGCCGCCAGAAAGTTTGCCTCGGGCCGCATTTTCAGAGGAGGCCAGGGCAGAGAGCCGTGCCCTGGATGGGCTTTGCCTGGCCCAGACAGGGGGAGACAGGAACCCTGGACTGGGCTTTGCCTAGCCCAGACAGCGGGAGACAGGGACCCTGGACTCGCTGTGCCTGTCCGAGACAGCAGGAGACAGGAGCCCTGGACTGGGCTTTGCAAAGCCTGGCCCAGAGACGGGGAGACAGGAGCCCTGGACTTGGCTTTGCCTGGCCCAGAGTGGGAGACAGGAGCCCTGGACTGGGCTTTGCAAAGCCTGGCTCAGTCAGCGGGAGACAGGAGCCCTGGATTCGCTTTGCCTGGCCCAGACAGCAGCAGTGCAGCAAGGCTCCTCTAGTAATGCTCCACCAGAAGCTGTCACCAGGTAGTCAGTTCTGGAGGTTTGGGACCAGTTGTCTGTAAAGAGTTCAGTCAGACTGAGAAGGGGAGGCCAGAGCCTTGGAAATGTTATCTATTGGAGGGGCCTGAAGATGTGGTCTGGGGTGGAGAAATACCTGTAATACCTGGGCAGTCTGCCCACAGTACTCTTTGAACATTCCATTTCTTCATTGTTCCCAAATTGCTTCCAATGTCTTAGCTCTCAGACCTGGTTTATCACCAAATCTGGCATCTAGAAATCTGCTGATCCTCCCTCTCACCTGATGGACTTTTCCTGGTAATTCAGGAAAGGTTTGCCAAGGAGTCTCTACCAAATATGAAAGTTTTGTTGTTGTTGTTTTGTACTGGAGATTGAACTCAGGGGCACTCACTACTGAACCACATCCCCGCCCTATTTTGTATTTTATTTAGAGACAGGGTCTCACTGGGTTACTTAGCACCTTGCTAAGTTGCTGAGGCTGGCTTTGAACTTGCGATCTTCCTGCCTCAGCCTCCCAAGCAGCTGGAATTGCAGGTGTGTGCCACTGTGCCTGGCTAAAGGTTTTAAAAATTGAATTTGTGGAAGTGTGACTTGCCCTGGATCGCTCTTCAGCTGGCCTTATCCGTCAAAATAGGCATTTGCTTATTTTTGAAATGATTTTGTGACATTGAAGTCAAATTAGAACATTGCTTTAAAATACCTACCCTTAAATATTTTTATATTTTTTTTGATTCCCAATGCTTTCCGTGGTTCTTGTGACCTCTCTACCAATAATGGACTTGTAGATGTGTTTTCGGGGCTCTTTGTGGGGGCGTAGTAAGGTGTAAAGGGCTAAGTTCTTCCACAGGGGAGCTTTTTAAAAATCTTTCTTTTTGGTCTTTTCCAGCCAGTGTGTTGGTCTGAGCAGGAGAATCTAGGACCACGCCCCCTGCCCATTTCCCTCATGACTTCACCTTATTCACCTTTTCTGCCTGCTTCCAGTGTTTCCAGGAGCACTGAAAAATGAGTGAGACTCCAGTGAGTTGTTTTTATTCATTCCTCACTTGGTTTGCATTATACTGCATGGGGTTTGTGGGTCCATGACTTAAAGCAGAAAAGTAGAAATAAGTAAAACTGAGTCTGAAGTTAATGTTCATAAATAAAGTTGGCACACAGTTAGGTGCAGGTTTGACTTCAGGGTCCTCACCTTGGAGGAGCAGTGTGTACCTGGCCTTTCTGATGTTGTGCTGGAAAGGCAGACACATTTCTCACAGGATTGGAGGAAACCTGAGGAAAGAGCCTGCTCAGCTTTCATGAGACACCATCTTCCTGTTGTGGACTCTTCACTGCTTTACAGCTTCCTTAATGAGGTTCTCCTGGAGTTCTTCAGAGAGCGTGGCCCACACAGCTTTGGAAGGCTGTCTTGGATGTCAGTGGGGCTGAGTCAACCCCACAGCCTTCAGTGCACCTGTGCATGCAGTGGCACTCACAAAAGGCTGTGTTTATATTCCTGTGTGTGATGGTGCAGCAGCACACTAATGGAATGTTTTTCTGTTGAGCAGACACAGCTCATCTGCACATTAACCCACTCACTGTGGTCTCAGTTCCTCAGAAACTCACCAGGAACCCACACAGTGAAATCTAGTGTCTGTTCTCAGGTCTTGACTTGAGTCTGTTGAGTTTGAAACTAGTGTTCTCAATTTTCTCTTGGAACTCCTTAGTTTCCATTCATTTTTTTTAAAGTTGTTTTTTTTAAGTTATATATGATGGAATGTATTTTGAGATGTCATACATACATGGAGTATAACTTTTCAGTCTTGTGGTTGTAAATTGTATAGAGTTACACTGGTCTTGTATTCATACACGAACATAGAAAAGTTTTGTCCTATTCAGTCCCGTGAACCTCCACTGCACGCCCCCATTGTGCGTCAGCATCCACATATCAGAGAGAATATTAGGCCTTTGTGATTGGCTTATTTTACTTGGCATGATAGCCTCCAGTTCCATCCATTTACTGGAAAATGCCATAATTTTATTCTTTATAGCTGAGTAATATTCCTTGTGTATATACCACTTACCTTCTTGATGTAGCTCATTCAGATAGCTTATCTGTTGCCCCTTTGTCCCAATCAGTCTCTTTTTTTTCTTTTTTTTTTTTTTTTTTGTGATACTGGGGATTGAACCTATCCACTGAGCCACATCCCCCCACCACCTTTTTTTTTTTTTTTTTCTTTAGAGACAGGGTTTTGCTGAATTGCTTAGGGACTTGCTCAGGTTGGCTTTGAATCTGTGATCCTCCTGCCTCAGCCTCCCAGGCCTCTGGGTTTCTTGAAGAAACCAGCCTGACCTCTTCCTTAGCCTGTAGACAACACATTCAGCTCTCATGTTGGCAGCTGTCCAAAGTGCAGATGAAAACCACATCCTTTTGGTCTTCAAATATGGTCGCCCCTGTCCAGCTGCTATACAGACTATAAAGGTGGGTTCTCTGGACTCAGATCTCATCTCACCTGATTTCAAGTCTGGCTGCTTTTGTTGATTTTTCCCTTTTATTCTGCACCTTCAGTAATGCCCCTGGGGAGGAGGAGCAGTCGGTGCTCACAAGCTTTCATTGCATTGGAAGTGCCATTCTTGGAAGAATGCGGAGGCTGTGCTCCTGGGTGATTAGGTCTGTCCCTGTGGATTATTTCTCTACCCAGAGTGACTCCTTAGCATTCAGAGGTTAATGGGGCAGTTTTGAACAAGGGTCAGTTAATAGAGTTGATAGACAATGCAAAGAATAAAAACAAGGTAAAGATTTTATAATGTGTATCTTTGCTTATGGAAGTTTATGTCAGCGATTTGATCTATAGTTTTTATTAATACATAGTTTTATTTTGTAATTTAGAAATAAGTGTCATGTTTGTAAACTCTTAAAGATTTTATTCTTTTTTTATTTCTGATAACCACTTAAAAATGGGAAAAATGAATGCATATCAGTTGTAACTGTTTATGGAATATACTTGTTAATAGTTGCTTAAGGAAGAAAGTTTTAAATCCACTTAACTGAACATTTAAAATTCATAATTATAGCTTCATATCTAACATGGAACCTACTTTGTTAATTTACCTTGAACTTAATATCCAAGTCTAACCGTATCCTCCCTGTTCAAATGAGGGTGCCACCTAAGGTCTCTAATGAATTTTTGTTCTTCTAGTTATCAGCTGAGTAACATGGAACTACAGAACCTACAGGCTTATTATGTGTCATGGTTCTGTGGGTCAGGCAACGGGACTGGGCAGTGTTGGTGGGCTGCTTCATGGTGCCAGTCATCTTAGCTAGAAGGACCCTGGTGGCTAAGGACCTGGGGCCACCAGCCTCTCTGGCTCTGGCAGTCTTGGGAAGTCAGATGTGCCTGGCTTCTCTGGAGACCCAGGTGGAAGCTGCGAGCCTTCTGTGGTCTTCCCTCAGAAGTCTCAGATGGCCTTCCCGACATAAGCCTGATCAGGCACATCCCTAGGACCACTCCTGCTTAAGGAGAGGCCTTTAGACTCTGCCTTTCAGAGAGAGTAGTGAGACGTACCAGTTGTTAGTGTGCTGTTCCCTCCCTTTCTCTCCCTTGTGAAGCATGCTTTGTCCATCTCCAGAGCCTCAAAGCCCCTTTATTGGTATCAGGGATTGAACCTAGGGGTGCTCAACCACTGAGATACATCCCCAGCTCTTTTTGTTTTTTTTTTTTTTATTTTGAGACAGGGTCTCAAAAGTTACGTAGGACCTCATCGAGTTGCTGAGGCTTGAACTTGGTTTCCTCCTGCCTCAGCCTCGCAAGTCACCGGACTAGAGGAGTGCACCATTGCAACTGGCCTCTAAACCTTTTTGTATCAAAGTGTTGGTAGAAGGCTCAGCTAAGTCTTGGTGACCAGCCATCTGTACTTCCCACACACACCCTCCATACTGAGGAGATAGGAGTGACTCTGGTGGACACTCCCTCCAGCAGTGGTCAGAAAAACTGCTCCTAGTGGCCACCTGCTCTAATTCTTAGCTTAGAGTCCAGTCCTCCTCCCTGAGAAAGGTGCTTTGTGCCTCCTTACTCCCCTGGCTTTGCCATTCTCTATCAGTGTTCTTCTTAAACATCTGGGTTCTTAGTGGAACATCTTTTGTCACTGTTTTTGGTTATAAGTGGGGGATCCTGCGGCCTCCTTTTCAGTTTTTTTCTGACTCCAGACATGAATTATAAGAAATACTTTCTTTAAGTGAAGTGAGCTCCAGCTGTACTGGCATATATTAGACCTGAGCCACCCTCGTGCACTCGGGGACAGGCTTTTTGTTCTCTGGCAGCTGCTTCTGTCCTGGGCACTGGGGGACAGCCTTGGAAGGCCCACTTTTTACCAGGTCTCACCCCAAGATCTTAGAATGCTGGAAATATTTTTGGTCTCTGATCTGGGCCACAAAGCCGTTTCTGACTTTTTTAAAAAAATTTTTTAATATTTATTTATTTTTTTTTAGTTTTCGGTAGACACAACATCTTTGTTGCTGAGGATTGAACCTGGGCTGCACGCATGCCAGACGAGCTCGCTATCGCTTGAGCCACATCCCCAGCCCCATTTCTGACTTCTAAGGAGTAAGAAAAACCAGGGATAGAAATAGTTTTATTTCAAACCTGCAGAATATTGGATCCTCCATATTTCTTCCAGATTCTGTGTGGAAATTAAACATCCTTGCTTATTAGTTCATTTCTCATCTTTTTGTTTGTTTTTCTAGATCCTATTTGTTTAGATACCCTCCTACCTCTCTCTTTTTTTTTTTTTTTTTGGTCTTGGGGATTGAAACCAGGTGCTTAACCACTGAGCCACCTCCCCAGTTTGTTTTAATTTTTAATTTGAGACAAGGTCATGCTAAGTTGCAAAGGCTGTGTTTGAACTTGTGATCTTGCTGCCCAAGTCTGGAACGGCAGGTGTGTGCCATCCCAGATGAAAATGGCTTCATCTTTTGGTAGCATCTGTTTGGTCTTATAGCAAGTGCCATGTGTCATGGCTTTTTATTACTGTAGCACCCCATTTCTGACTACCAGATTCTGTTCTGTTTATCTGTTGTGCTTTAAAACCATCCCAAAACTTGTTATAAGGGAGAGAGAGAACCAATTGAGAATTCCCATCCAGCATATATACATGTACGTTATCATCAGGGTGCCAGTTGGGGTCCAGGTCCTTCATGTCCTGAACAAAGAATTGAGCAAGACACAGAGGTAGCAAAGTACAGAGTTCTTTTTTTTTTTTTTTTTAATACCTTTATTTTATTTATTTATTTTTATNGGGGGCGTTGAGAATTCCCATCCAACATATATATACATGTATGTAACTATCAGGGTGCTAGTTGGGGTCCAGGCAGGTCCTTTATGTCCTGATGAACAAAGAATTGAGCAAGACACAGAGGTAGCAAAGTACAGAGTTCTTTTTTTTTTTTTTTTTTAATACCTTTATTTTATTTATTTATTTTTATGTGGTGCTAAGGATCGAACACAGGGCCTCATATGTATGAGGCAGGTACTCTACCACTGAGCTACAGTCCCAGCAAAGTACAGAGTTCTTGAAGGTGAAAATAGCACCCTGTTAGAGCAGAGTGGGCCAAGCAAGAGGGTGAGGCAGGGGCGCTCTCAAGGCCTCAGTGTCTGAAAGTTAGGGTCTTAGGTCCTGAGCTGTGGAGCATTCTCTTCCCTACATGGACCTGACTGATAACCTTACCCCATTTACTCCCATTGGTTACCTTATATTACAGGATTAGAATATTTTCTAATTTCCTTCTCCCCATTGGTTACTTAGAAAACATAATTAGAATACAGTCTCCTTTACCCCATTTGTCATTTTAAGATTCACACCTATGGCTGGAGTTGTCACTGACATGAGTCCTCAGTGGTGGGAGTTGTCATAGTAATAGAATTTATTGTAAGCAGGGACAAGACTCTTTTCCTTGTATGAGATGAAGCTGAGCATGGTGGTGCACACCTGTGGTCCCAGTGGCCTGGGAGATTGAGGCGGGAGGATTGCACATTTAAAGCCAGCCT